TGAGAAGTTCTCCCCATTAATCTAAAAGTTTTGTTTGGAGGAAAATATATCTGTAATTGGTTATGGAGTTCATAAAAGATATAAAAGCTATATTTTAATGCAATAGTTTTGTAAACATATTTCATATCCTTCAAAAAATTTTATTCCATGGGATATAATGTGGCATAATATTTTTTTAATAACTTTTGGGATATAATTTCACTAACATTGTTTTGGAGGGATAAAATATGAGTGCCCATAGGATAAAATTTCTTATAAAATGTTATCCCTTTTAAACAAAATATTATCCTTCTGGGGGATAATATTTCTTTAAAATATCTTATCCTATGGGATACAATTTCATTGCTGTTTTATGTGGCGAGATAACATTTTGGGTAGGAACAAAAAAATATTACACCACTACCTTTGTGTATATATAGTCTATAAGCTGGTGTTTTAGGAAGACACTACCTTTGTGTATATATAGAGTCTATAAGCTGGTGTTTTAGGAAGATTGATTGATTGTCATTAGTTGATTTGTATTTCTTTCAGTTTAAGGATGTACATGAGTCAGTTTTAAGAATTTTTGTCCGATGTTCGTTTTTTTCCCTACGATACAGGGTAAAATATTTTGCCCCATAACACCTATTTTTCTTTTCATATTAGACTTCAACAGCTGATAAAAGGTCATTTACCAAAATTTGAGCAGATTCTAGATTTGTTTCCTTTCGATTTGAGACCCAAATAACACCATTGAAAGTATAAGGTAAAAGTCCGAGTCAAATTTTTCCCGCCATTTTAAAAAAATCAAATATCTCGAAAAGTAGCTCCATAACCTATCAATATTTTTAGGCATTTGTTAATTAATTAAATCATTACAAATCGCGTATAAAAGACCATTTACATAAAAAAAAGTTCGAAGTACAATATGATTTGAGTCCTGATTGATATTCATTTTTTGAAAACGACTGCAATAAATATTATTATTTGAATGAATTTTTTTTTCTGTTACTATATATTTCTTATTTTGGTGTTTAATTGGCCACTTTTTTTTTTCTTTTTTTTCTTTTTGTTTCAGTCCAAGAGGAAGTTCTACATCTTCAAGTGGATCCGAAACCTGTTATCCGGATTCAGATTTGATTTCGCCAACCCCTGATAAATTGAAACTAAAACAGAAAAAAAGAAAATTTACAAAGGAAAGGGTAAGAAACTTTTTATGTTTTAGAAAAATTAAACTCTGTATTTCTTTCTAAATTTTTGAGACATATGTTGTTTTTTGATTAAATATAAAAAAAAAATACAGAAGCATAAAAAAAGGAGGACAATTTAGAGACATCAGAATCCAAAGACATTGTCAAAACGTGAAAACAAGAAACAAAGACGATCCACATACACGATGTAGACATCAGAATGCAAAGACATTGTCAAAACGTGAAAACAAGAAACAAAGACGATCCACATACACGATGTAGACATCAGAATCCAAAGACATTGTCAAAACGTGAAAACAAGAAACAAAGACGATCCACATACACGATGTAGACATCAGAATCCAAAGACATTGTTAAAACGTGAAAACAAGAAACAAAGACGATCAACATACACGATGTAGACATCAGAATCCAAAGACATTGTCAAAACGTGAAAACAAGAAACAAAGACGATCCACACAGACATCAGAATCCAAAGACATTGCCAAAACATGAAAACAAGAAACAAAGACGATCCACACAGACATCAGAGTCCAAAGACATTGTCAAAACGTGAAAACAAGAAACAAAGACGATCCACATATACAATGTAGACAGCAGAATAGAATACTTTTACATATAAAAACTGAAGATTAAGAAAAACAAGACAACACATAAAAAAATAAATCACTTGCAATATGAACGCCCGCAAAAAAATGGTGGCGACATCAGATTTTGACAAACTAAATTAAATTTGATTGATTGCTCTACTTTTTTTCCAACAGAAACTAAACCAAGCACGGAAGCAGGAGCAGTGGAAGGGACATCTGCAACAGGTACGACAAATAATGACACACATCATACTCAGACATATTTATGTGGTAACATACATATATTTTCTTCTGATTTGTTCACTGGAAATCAGTTAGTTATTCATGAGGGGCCTCTTGACAAAAATACCCAAACATTGATTTCTTTGGAAGTTACAGAAAGACTGCAAAGACTATGTCATTGAAAAACTCTGATATCATCTTTATGCTGGCAGATAAGCCTATGATACAAGTTGCTAGCGAGTTGCTTGAAAAAAGGAAAGACCAATGACAGTTTATCAACAAAGTTTAACTCATACTATAAGAAAGTGAACAGGATTTCAGAAACAAACATTAAATTAAAAAAGGGTAGGGATACTGATTTTTATCGTGAATTTTTGGAAGGAGAGTTCAGTCTGCCCAATTCCTGTCCTATTGATTCTCCTTAAAATCAGACTGAAAAGGAAATATCTCCTCTAAATCCTGACAGCACAACCTCTGCATGTGTTATCTCAAAAATTACAAATGAGTTGCAAGCAGAAAAATGCAAGAATATTTCATTGGAATAGGAAGTTGACAGAATAGCGGACCAAGTACCAAAAGTGGACAAGGAAAAAAAGACTTGTCTATCAAGGAGTGTCAAAAGAACACGAATGCGAGAAGCTTATTATAGAAACAAAGTTTTCAAGTTGGAACAAGATGTGACTGATTATAAAGAAGATGGAAGGTACAGAATGTTGGAAGATAAAATCAAAATTTTAGAAGCAGAAAACCATGATTTAAGGAGACAAATTATAAAAATCGAGTATGAAAAGGAAATAGACGAGGAAATTTTGAAAGCAGAACAAAGACATTTGGTGAAATTATTTGACGAACATACATTTAAATACACAACGGAACTTCAGACTTGTGCACATACACTATTGAGTAATCATGTAAGCACAACAAGGATTGGACCTGTAATAGAGGCTTGTTTAAAAATGGTTGGTAAAATACCTGACAGACTACCATCAGTCACCACTATAACATGTATAAATAATATGAATGTACAGAGGTTGGTTATATCACAGAAATAGCTGTCTGAAGAAATACCAAAGAAGGAGATAACCACGATTGAAACTGATGAAACCTTTAAATTTGGAACAAAGTTTGGCGTATATGCAGTATCTTCTTACAATACAAGCTTCTGTTTGAAGATTATTCTTCTTTTAACGGGAACAATTTAAGAAATACGAAAGTATCAATTTTGACAGAACCCCCCCCCTTTTTTTCGTAGTTTCAAGGGCCCATAACTCAGTCAGTTTTTAAGATAGATCCTTAAAAATAACACCATTCAAATGCATTTTCCAATGATTTATATCATGTTATGTTTCTGAGACATTTTAAAATTGGCCTGTTATTGCTAGACTCTGAATGCCTTGTCGATATGACGTCAGTGTTGTCTTTTTGTACATTTCTCCCTTCTTGTCACGGATTTCTACATAAAACTTGGTGAGGGTTTTGTCAAGTGTTTCAACATCGTACTTTTCCAAGTCTGAATCTGGTTTAGTCTCCGTTAGATATTCTTTGAACAACTTCACAGCTTGATGCGTTTGCTTTCAGGTATTCTTATAGCGTTTGCATTTAACATCATATTCTTGATATTTCCATCTGATAAGCTTACAAATTTTTTTTTCGTCTGCTGCGGCAATTCTGCCATGATTGTTATGTGTGACGTCATGACGTAGAGTAATTTCGGACCGGAACAGCTTATATCCGGATCTAAATTTAGCAAGATTTTTAATATTGACCGTCAATATACATATGAATAGAACCTTAGCGTCAATATACTTAAAAATAGAAAAAAAGGCTTCAGATACATGAAATAACCTTTGAAACACGATCACGTGATCATAATGACCAATGAAAAAAGTAGAATGCTACACCATATGTAATATATAGGTTTATTTCACAGAATATCAAGAGATGGTTCAGTTATACCTTCGAAATATTGGCTTCAAAACGTTAGCAAAAACAACCGTATTTTAAAAAGCCTACAATTTACCAAGCGTGCCCGTGAAGGATAAAACAGGCATTTATATATAAACGATTTGACAGAGAAGATAACAAAGAAATTTCCTTGTGTATTTAATCCGGTGTGGGTGAAATAAGACCAATATAAAAGAAAATACACGAAACATACAGTAGATATCAATCAATCAAAGTCCCGGATACTTATATATAAGTTATAATAAAATCCATTATTATACCTAAGTTACCTAAGTTATCATTTTCTATATTAAATAAGTACACAATATTTTGACTATTTTCTAAATTGCAAGGTTTGAACTATTTGACCGGTCAATAGTTTCCAACTATTGGACCTCGATGAAACTATTTGACCGCAAGCGTCATTATATTTCGCGGAATTTCAAATGCAGCTACGGGATCGGAGGCTGTTGAGAATACCGTGGTAGTTGCGACGTCGCGTTTTACCTATTGTATCTAGGGTTGACCTCAGTGCAGGACGTAGCCTTAGCATTCAGAAAATATATGAAGTAAACGTCAAACAGTATGGTTGTGTTTCTGCTTTTTATATTACGATAGTTGATTAGCCCGACATTTTTGTCGGTTGTCTCTTTCGGTATAATAAAACACTTACTGATTGGATATTCGTTGAATAGTAAGTTTATTATACCCTCGGATACAACTATTGCTCTCGGCTACGCCTCAGGGCAATAGTTTCATCTCGGGGACAATACACTTACTATTCCACTCATACCCAGTCAATAAGGATAAAATATTTCATATATTTAAGATAGATATTCATTGTTGAGTTAAATAATGAGTGTAAGCATATTTTTATTCCATGTACAGTAACCTTATATGTAAATATCGTCATTTTATGGTAGACATCGGAACCTTTCAATGCGCATTGTACTTTCTTGATTGGTCATTTACTCATGGGAATCGGAGAACATGCACACTTCTCATACTTGCCCTCTTTTATCGAAAGCGAACAATAATGTGAGAAACAACAACCTTTATGTAAAATTGTTTTATTATAAAACTATAACTCAAATTAAAAAATGATATGCGTTGATGATATGTACAATATGGACTGTATTTCTAATAAATGTCTATTACATGAGCACTAATTGTCTGTTTGTAGTTTCTGAACACAATTATTTCATAGATCCTATATCCAAGCACTAGCATACAGTTTCACATCCGATATGACTGTACTTTCTTCGATCTGCAAAATAGCGAATAAAATAATAAGATATCTTTGTCAAAATATAGAAAGCAAATTGCATGTACCTTATATTTAATCTTTGAAGAATCAATATTAAACACCTCTCTTCCGTAGACATAATTTATCTTGCCAGCAACATCTTCAACTTTTTCAACTCTATTTGAAGTGTTGTTTATAAGATGCTTTTTATGTTTCATTCTAACTTTAATTCTGCCTACACGAGAGTTATACTTAATTTTCGAATTTTCTGACCATGTGTTGTTCGTTATTGTTCGTTTTTGTTTTCTGGTCTGCATTTTTTCGATGGACTCCGTGTGTTGATGGTTGATGTGGTCTGTGTACTGTCCAGTATTTTTTGGATTCCTGTTATCTTTCTTATGCATTATTGGCTTTACGTTAACCTCAATATGATAGGGATTTTTTATTTCAAATTCATTATTTCAACTTGCTTCACTGTATGCGTCTTTTAGTATAAAAGAAACTAAACAGAAACTAATTGTATAAAATTAATGTTAAAACTAGATTTGTTGTCATTGAAAGTCCTAATAAGTTTTGATTTTTCAAATATTTTGGTCTCTAGCATCACTTAAGAGACATTTATAGTCGAAATGCGCACCTGGTGCAGAAAAAAATTGGTGCCGTTAAAATTTTCATAGAAAGCTATTTTAAAGCACTTGTTGGTTTATCTTGTGAATGGTGAATTTCTTACAGAAGTAAAATGTATTTCTAATTGAACTTATTGGCGCTAGATCTTGAATGTAGAGATAGAGATACATGACACAGGTTTGAAAACCTGTCAGGAAATCTCTTGCTAAGGAAAATTATAGCAGTGGTGTTATATATACCAGAACAAATATCAACACCTCACCAATGGTGAGAATAGCTTACCCTGAATGAACTCTTGCCAGAGATGGATTATGTGGAATTTGTTTATAAGCTGAGAAGTCAGGAACATTGCTTGGAACATTTCTGTCTTCAGACGGATGTGACAATGAGGCTAATGACCTATAAAAACGTAATATATAGCAATATTTGAATTTTAGGTAATTAAATTGTTCATCTCGAGTCTTTCTGCATCCTCAATCATATAAAAACAAGAACATGCTTTCGTTTCTTTTAAGTATTGACGTAGATCCTTTTTATATAAGATAATAACTGCTTTGCTTATATCTTCGTCATTTGAACTCTCGTGCATAGTTGTCTCATTGGCAATCATACCACACCTCTTTATTTTTACATAATTCAGATTAGGTCAGTAGTTTCTATTGGAATATGTGATAACACATGTATGTATGTTGATAATACGATTAAATATAATTTCACAAGTCCAGTGAAATTTTATCATTTTGAAGACAGTTACAAATGTTGGCTAGTTGACAAAATTAATGGTTAAGAGCAATTGAGACTGTGCATGTGTAGTTGCTACGATGTCAAAGAAGCATAGTTTCAAACCCCACTGAGGGAAGGGCAAATTTGCAGATTTAACATTGTTGGGCTTTTAAGACAGTATATATTTTTAATCAATTTTGATATGCCCATTTTAACTTATCTCTTTTGGTGTCAGGATGATTGACAATGTATTTTAAAAAAAAGTTCATTTTTTGAATACACAAGTGACATTGTCTAGACAATGAAACCACGGCAAGTATATATTTTCTGACCGCCAATATTGAAACACATAAATAATGTCGTAATCCCTACAGGAAGTAGGTACGACACTCAATTTCCAGTCTAAAAAATATATACAGTATAGAGAATGGAAACGGGGACTGCGTCAAAGAGACAACAACTCAACCAAAGAGCAGAAAACAGCCCAAGGCCACCAAGTGGTCTTCAACGCATCGAGAAATCCCACACCCGGAGGCGGGCTTCATATTTCCCCTAAACAGTAATGTATATTAGTTAAACGAAATGGGACGCCACACTAAACTCCGAAACAAACAAATGAATTAAAATGAAAAAAATATGTTAATGACTTACAATGTAGTTATAAACGTGCCATAATCTTAATTAACTTTACTTCATAGGACAACTTACCCTGAAGGTGTGACCTGTAAAGGGTCAAATTCCTCATCCCACCTTCCTCGATATACATCATCTAATTTTAAAGGTTCCAGTCTAAAAAAATAAAAAGTAATTTATATATCTTGACAGAATCAATAACTTATAAAATTCTTAAATTAGTCATAAAAAAAAATCTGCATGTGAAACAAATATGTTTGGTTGATTGATTGCTGTATGTTTTTAATCATAAAATGGCAAATTTTGCACGTATATTCAGGGCGAGAGAAAATATGAAATTAATCAAAACTCAAAGTAGGTAAAAAAATGTTTGAACCAGATATTTGACAATGATGATAAAACCAAATCCAATAAAAATGAAAGATAACACGATTGACCCCAAAACGTGCTGTAACAATATACATGTTAAACTAACAGTTTTCTTTAGTAGACTAAGGTTTACTGAATGTCTGTCAAAGTTATGTAAGAAAACGTGTCGTCGTCTGTTTATAATGGATTGTATCGATTGATTGATGTGTGCTTAACGCCACTTTCAGCAATATTGGTTATATCGTGGCGGTCAGTTTTTACTGGTGGGAGAAGCCGGAGTGCTCGGAGAGAACCACTAACCTTCGGTAAGATAATTGCTTAGAAAAGAAATGCTAAATTGTACGCTGACTAAAGGTTTGACTTAAACTACAAAATGTAATGTAATCATTCAAATTGTCTGATAGTCTTTGAACTTAAGTATATATGGTGCATGCACAGTAAACCGATGGTATTTGAATAATTACAAAAAGAAATGTTATGGTTTATACTTACGATTTATTGTTTAAAATATACGTGGGATCTTCATTAATATACTTTAGATATGATGATGCATTGCTTTTCATTGACCTAAAATACAAAAAAAAATTATATGTATAACACATGGTACTCTTTTCAACTAATTTCTTATAATATTAAAAGAAACTCACTTTGTGATATTATCCACATATAAATCGGAAAATATATAAATAAGAAAAATTATTTCAAAATATAACTCCTCCAAGGAAATCGCATGAACTCTAAAAGGAGTAAGCAGCCAAGATGTTTCGACAGGGTTAAGCGTATTTTGCTTTGTATGCGGCATTGCTTACATGTGATTCAAACTCAATGGGATATTAAGAGCAGATTAGTTTATGACATAGAGAACGATATATAAAGATAATGATTAAATCTTACTTGCAAAAATGTATCAGAAACTGTTCCCAAGAAAAAACAATTTAACTTAAATTCTTACCTATTATCGGATATATACAACGGAAGTGACGACGTCGAGCCCCGGAAGTTGTAGTTTGATAGCGGACGGGACATGTTTTTACTTTCTGATGTGTAGTATGTACTTCTTGTGTTGTTACTTGAAGAATCTGACCAATCAAGTTGGCTGTTAGATGACCAGGATGAAGACTGTGATGAACTGGATGATGATAAACCTTTGTAAGGCAGTTGTCTGAAATAAAATGGTCAAAAATTAAAGTATAAAGTCCATTAAAACTACCGTTAAAATGGGTGTGTGTGCAATTGAATAAGTATCAAATATCATCAAAGATACTGGGCTTATAATTTGGTACGCCAGACGCGTTTCGTCTACATAAGACTCGTCAGTGACGCTCGAATAAAAACAGAAGGGCAAAATCAAATCAAGTTGTAATTGGAACAAAATTGTTGTTGGTAATGATTTCATTATTTTATAAATTAATAATTTCATGTTATTGATATTTATTTTTTTGAACGTTAGGCTTGAAAAAGTTTTCACTACATGTATTATTACAATTCTTTTACCTTACAATTGTAAATAGGATGCGTGCTTTGTCCCTCTCTAAAACATTAAGATTTTTTATTATTTATTTACCTTTGTCTACTCAATTCCTACCAAATGAAATACATCTATTGTGTTTCCTTTTCCATCTTTAAACGTACCTATATATTTGGTTTATTTATTCTATTGTTTTTTCAAGGTTAAAAATCAAGGATAATTTTTATGACATCCCTTTGGCTACTACACAGTACCATTATTGAATTATCAAAACAGCCAGTAGGCATTGTTAAAGATTGGATCTTTCATTTCATGTAAACAATTTTAATAAACACTTAAAAAAAAACAATAAAAAGAAAAATAACATTAAGAAAACAAAAACAAGATTATTTTAAACACAAAAGAAAAATAAACCACGTGACTGTATATCGTTATATAATTTGATGTATCCCGAGTCTAAGTGTTAAATTATTTTTTTTCGAATTACAACTGGCGATTTCATTGTAGTGGTATTAAAAAAAATAGCATTTTGTGAATTGTTGATTTAAATTACTTTAATCGACTACGTCGTAAAGATTTATCAGGTAAATATGTGTGGTGTTTTATATAGAAAGGTTGAGTAATTTGCAATCGGAATTTGTTTAAACCGAAGTAAAAAATATTAAAAATCGAAATGATTAATGTCAATAAAATCATGCTTAATTAGTCGTCTTTTGCACTCTGAAATGTCCACAGAACGTATAATTTTACGTCTAGTCGAGAAATTGATTCTGGGGAGAATACCGACCCCCTTGCATAAGGTCTACACACTATAGTACTCAATCTAAGCCCTTGATTGGTTTTGCTCAAAGTTATAGGACATTCATTTCATGCATATTCAGAACGAGAAAATTTTGTTAAAAAATACATTAATGGGTGGAAAAGAAAGGATACAGGGTATCAATTCATGACTCAACATCACTACACGTACACGAAAACATCAAAAAGCAAAGGGACCGTGCTTTAATTTTTGTGTTCATCTCAAAGACATAGGGAGACCTCCAACATATAGTACAAACTCTCACCTCACTGCAAGTTCAAGACGTTCTCCATCATCGGTTTCAGCGGAATTTTTTTGCTAGATTCTATCATGCATGGTATAGCTTGACGTTAAGCAAAGAACAATCAGTCATTTATATTAATGTCGCAGACGTCAAATATGTAACAGAAGAAATTTTAAAAATTTGTCAAATATAATATTTCTTGCATTTATGTATGCGAGGTGTCAATTCATTCATATTGATTTATTATTTTTCTTTCAGAATTTAAGATTTCGTTTTTAATTAGAATAATTTTGAATTAAAATTCCAAATCAATAGTTTAATAAATTATTGGTATGCGTTTTCAAATGTCATCATATTTCATAGATGACAACGACTTTAATGTGACTGTCAAATACCATTACATGAATTATCAATCAATCAATCGTTACCAGATGCTTCCACAATAATGAATGAAAAAGACAGTTCTAACCAAACTGCTCAAAGAGACATCTAGACACTACCTACAAGCCTTTAACAATAGACAGGTGTCTGTATAATATGTCCAGCAATAAATCGTCCCGAGTCGTAAAAAGTTGTATAAAAGAGGCGGAAGATACAAAAGGGGCAATAAAAAATTATAAGTGTAATAGAGACTTTCAAAACTGTGGCAAAAAACAACAAGAATGTGTCCATAGTGGGGCACTCGCACTATCATTTTCTATGTTCAGTGGACCGTGAAATCGGGGTCAAAACTCTAATTTGGCATGAAATTAGAAAGATCATATCATAGGGAACATGTGTACTAAGTTTCAAGTTGATCAAAAACTACCTTGACCAAAAACTTTAACCTGAAGCGGGACAGACGGACGGACGGACGGACGAACGGACGAACGGACGCACAGACCGAAAAACATAATGCCCCTAGGTGGCACATAAAAACGGCCAAAGTACAAACATCAGTCTTTAAAACACTACGTAGAAAATTAAAGACTGAGCAACGTGAACGATAACAGGTGCTCCGGAAGGGAAAGCATATTCTGCTCAACATTTGACACCCGTCGTGTTGCTCATGGTTAGCGTGACTAAATTAAACAGAAACGATGAAAAATCGATATGTCATTAACAACAATGTGTCCAAATGACAAAAACATTAAGATATAACATAATATGACCACTACCTCCTTTTTCACAATTTTTTGAACCACATTTAGCAAGGTGTCATAATGAGACTTGTGCGTGCACTTTTGGTTCCGATATTGTATTACTATCTTGATAATGTAACAAAGTTTTAGGGGCGTTGTTGCATAGCCGTCATGATTGACAATAAACTACGTTATCTAATTATGTATTGAGATAATGACAACCAATTGATTATTAACGTACAATATTAATCATTCAAAAATGTGGAAAGTTTCACAGAAAGTCATTTTTAAACATGTTTAATGACTTTTTCTCCAGAATTAACAGAAAATCATAGTAATGAATAGTTCTCTTTAAAGACCAAAAATAAGATTATTTTCTTTATTAATTATTTTGCCATTATTCTTCTTTTTTTTATTTTAGCGTCCCAGTATTCTCTACTCCTAATTCTTTTGACTTTTTTCTCTTTTTTTTTTATTAATTGCCCTGTATTCTCTGCTGTTTTTTTTTAATTTTTTTTGCCTGTTATCTTCTATGCTATAAAACAATTAATTTATTATACCCTCATATAGAGAACAACAGAAAGATGTAAAACTCAATATAAGTCTTTCACTGATGAACGACAAATATGTGGTGTGAATTATCTGTTCACTTATCTATTTTTTTTTTTTTTTTTTGTTAAAATTCTTATCAAATTTTAGATTTTAAATTTATAATTAACAAAACAAGAATCAAATACTCATGTACAGAATGTCTTCTGATATAGTCAATATACCCTATTATATTTGAACGTTAGAGGTATCTGAATTAATGTTCAATTGAATTTAAACAGATTTTAGTGTCATTGCAAGGACAAAGCCCGATGATTCCGTTTAGCTTCACCCCTCGAAAATTTAAATACAAAGCTGTGCGATAAAAGTGAAATTGTACTTACCCATACCGTTTTTCTTTGCTAACGACTTGTTCGGTATATTTACACTCCGTTTGAATCACTTTATGTTGTTTTCGAATCATTGGCATACAAAGTCTAAGAATAATAGCAATAATTGATAAGAACGCTACAGTCACACATGCCCCTATTATTACTTGATCTTGGATTGACAACTCAGTTTTTAACATTAAATCATCTTGACCGGTCACTGTTCCGTTTAAAATCCCATTATGGATGTTCGATTCATTCAAGCGTGTCACTGATGGTGATTCTGTTAACGAAACTATGTTGTTCGTTCCCATTTTGAACTTTATGTTGTAAATGTATGTTTTTATCAATGTAGTGGATGTTTATTCATGCAAAAACATTCCAGACAGGCACCTACAAAAAAGGAAATATATAACAATTAACAAAAGATAAATAAAACAGAGAATATGTGAATAAATTAGCTATCGATATTTACTTGTTTATATATTCTGAGGTCAATGAAGCCGATGATAAGTATATGACTTGGAAATAATAAAATCATAAATAAAGGAACCATGATGGTAGCACATGTTAACCGTTCAAAAGTGGAAATTTAAAGTTATGAATGAAAATAAAAGGTGCCACAAAACTTTCTTCACTCAGACATATTTGTAAATGACTAAAAATCAACACAAATTAAATATCGAACTGGTACTTGCACGACATTAAGTTGATTCTGAAATCAAATTTCTTGTTTTTAAAGAGGTTTTGTTGATTTTAATAATTAATAATAATCAACCAATGGTAACGATGTATGTCCCATTAATGACACTTAAAATTTACAATGATATGTGAGGCAAAAAAAAGTTCTCTAAATTATAAGAATAACACATAAAGATTTATTCTGAGACAACAATGACGATGATCTTGAATTACAGGCATTATGAACTATTATTAGTAAACCATTTCAAATTATTTTCTTTTCGCAATGAATAAAGAATATGAACTTAATCAATATGCAGAGTGTTGAAAGACAAAACATGTGTATTTAACTTATAAGGTGAAGTTAAACCTCATCAATCAATCAAGGAACTCTGTCGTCCTGAACATGTATGAAATATTTGCCACTGGATATAAAGCAAACAACAATTAATCATTCAATGTTATGTATTCTAAACGAGGTGGTAGGTGAAATCTATAAGTCTTTGTTGGGTTACTGTATCATTGACTTTTATTCATATTTTATCACCTTAATTTCTTGCCATGAGATGACTGTTGGTCTACCCAATATGTTTGGCGAGACAAAATCTACATTATATACAATTACAATATAGATATATCATTTTAATATTTTTATCTATGAAAGGCGTTTAAAAGAACAATTTGTGACTTGTAAAAAATAAGATTTTTATGTATAGCGGTGTGTTGGTTTGACATGTTTTTAACATAATAATGTCGTTTACCTGTACGTCCAGGTACAATTTATTGGATCAAGATAAACTGACGTATTCTATGATGCATGAGATGTTGTTTGTACATGTAAAATTGAAAAAAACTATTACGAGAAAAATTCGAAATAAATACTGATTTACATGACGTAATCATAATTTTGAAAGTTAGGAATAAAAGAAAAAAAAATGAAATAATTATTTACATGTATTTACCTGCATGTTCAAGTACAATTTATTGGATCAAGATAAATTGACGTATTTTATGATGCATGGGACGTTGTTTTAACGTATAAAATTGCAAAGCTGTTAGTTCGGAATAAAAAATTGAAATAATTATTCAATAACCTGACGTAATCATAGTTTTAAAATGTGAGGAATAGAAAATACAAAAGATCAGAAATCGACATCTGAAATGAACCAGGAGCATGCATTATGCATTATGCATACACAAAAAAAGTAATACTTAAAGTTAAGAATTACAAGGAAATAAATCAAATGAACTGCTTTTAAGGACAGACATCACACAAGATAGTAAAGCATCAATACAATTTAGTTCGGAATGCATGTACAACTTTTGCAAAGGAATCATACTTCATTAGCTGCAGTTATTTGACACTCAACATAAACATAATGGTAATCCTAAGCCATGAGCTGTTAACGCAATGACTTCGACTTAAATTAGTGATGGTCTTTTACTTAATTTAGCATCTTATATGTAATTATCAAGATATGGCCATTTTACATGATATAGTAGTTTTTTGCAAAATTAATTATGAGCAGAAACTTTTGTTTGAAATTTAAAGGCTAAATGTATGTATTGAACAAATAGATTCAATTTAACTGATGTGTAAACGATACATGTCTTGTGTGAAATAAAATGTAAGTACGTTATTGCAGTGGGTAATGGTATTTCACTTTCACTTTCAATGAATACAATTGTGGAATCAGATTCCGATGTGGGCAGATTTGTTCCTCGCATGTACATGTATCAGTTAATTCGAAAATGAAGCGAATGAAAATAGGAACGAATTGTAAAATATGCAAAATGATAATTTTATGATATTAAAAGAGAGGCGAAAGATACCAAAGGGATAGTCATACTCATAAGTCGAAAACGAACTGACAATACTAATGCAAAAATCGAAAAACGACCAAAATACAAACAACAGTATAAAAACAACAACATAGAAAACTAAAAACTGAGAAATAAATAAAAATATTCTTACTGCAGTTACGAAATATCGTTGATCACATGTATTCCAACGTTTCATAAAATATAATTGCACATGAAATTAAACTATGAATTACTTCAAAGTTTAAACTATCAATCAAAGATGCAATTCATCATTGTAAAAGGAAAGTGCACTATGTACAATTAGCAGGTTAATTGATTTTTTAGCGTTTAAAGTTTTAAAAAAAAGTAATATACGATTTTCCTTTTCTTTAACTTGTTGACGAATGATAATGGATAACAACGGGTTAAACAACTTTCTGAAATTTACGACTTCTAAAACGTAGCAGGTGTACATGTACTGATTGTCAACATAAATATTAAGATAGAGCGTTGATTGATTAATTAAAGGGGGAAAATAAACCGAACGACCGGCAAATTTTGTTAAACACGCATCATGGAAGATACGAAGGGTTGAACATGTAAGTATTAGATACATCTTGAGGGCGTTAGCCCGAATGGATGTATCTAATTTACACCAAGATAATATTATTGTTATTGTTAATAAAGAATGATAGTTTTAAACACTTTAGGAGGGGGTCTTTCAGCGATTTGACCAGGGCAGGGCATCCAATTTCATTTAACGACATTGGTGTAATAAAATTGAGAATGGAAATGGGGAATGTGTCAAAGAGACAACAACCATATAGCAGACAACAGCCGAAGGCCACCAATGGGTCTTCAATGCAGCGAGAAACTCCCGTACCCGGAGGCGTCCTTCAGCTGGCCCCTAAACAAATATGTATACTAGTTCAGTGATAAAGCACGGTTACAGTATATCGTTTTAGGTTTCAAGTTCATATTCCTTGAATACTGTATGTAATGTTTAGGTGTCGTCCTTGGAAAACACTGTTACAAAGTTACTCGGAACCCTAGAAATGAAACATTTGTAGCCAATACCCTTTGATTTACTTAAAGTACGCATGCATACGTAGGCAACATCATAATACGATATTAAAAAGACAAGCATATAAACAGATAAGATAATACCTATGTCTTGATTTAATATTACATGATTGGCAGACCCTTTGTTGTACGTTTTCAAACCGTTAAAATGTTAAAGATATTTTGATTTTAATGTATGTTTCCTTAATTAATTACAAGAAATAAGTTCAAGCTTACACGATTCGTTACCTAAAGTATCTTGGAAAGTTTCTCATCTTATTGGTAAAATTACAAAAAGCGTATTTAATTTACAAACTGGTGAACTAACATTATTTTCATACCTCTGCTCTCCAACCTTATAGACCAGACATTAAGCTGACTTACAAAGTTACAATTAATTTATAAGTTAAGAGTAGAGTATTAATTTCCGGGAAATAAAAACTTGTGGGAGTTAATTTGAGGTATAAATATGCAGCTAAACCTATCAATAAACAATAACACATAAGTCATTGTTTAATATGAAGAAATAATGAAAGCTGATATTTCGTTTTGACAGTTTCAATTCATACATGTTTTTGTAACTATTTGTGGTTACGACCATACTCGTTTTTCTTAAAAATTTACATTAAGGATCGGTTATTATGTGTACTTCATTATAGTATTGTTTTTTTTTTTACTATAACTGACATCCAAAATCACATTTAGTTGATTAGTTAATGGGGGAAAACAGACCACATTATAATGACATCCTCTACGTACTCCGTTTATCTTGTTGATCAACATGTTTAGCAATTTTGAGAAATTGTAAAAAAAATTAAGATTTTCCAATCATTGGTACAAGCACAGTAAAAAATGATACTGAAATGCTACGTGTTACTTTTTTCTAATGATTGATGTGTCACGACGATCTAGATGGGGTTCTTTGTTAATGTTTTCTTAAATTTATTTAAGAATTTTTCTCCATTCTTTTTTTAGCCCATAATCTTGGAGCAACTTTTTATTCTCTACTCGTAATGTTTTGGTCCATTTTACTCCATCTTTATTTTTTGGTGGTCATTATTCTCTATTTTGTTAACCCCGTCCAGACCCTCGTCTACTTGACCCACAACAAACTAGAATAATTGTGAGCATATTAGTTAACAAATTAAACCCTCTCTCCCAAGATTTGAAAAGTCTCTCTGTGACATAATCCAGGTGTACTGAAATGGCATTGGTAATAAAAATACCAATCAATCTATTTGCAGCGATAATTCGAGGTTCAAGCTGTGCTATTGAAACCGCAAAATTTATTTTAATCAAAATATAAATAATACGTGCACAATGCCATAAGGTACTTAATATTTGTTTAAATTAATCTACTGAAGGATGTATTGTAAATACAAAGAAAAACGGTCAAACAAACTTAAAATTGAGAATCGAAAGTAGAAATAGGGAATGTGTCAAAGACACAACAACCCGACCGAAGAGCAGAAAACTGTATGTTTTTTAATTTTAGTTCATTTATATGTTTTGGAGTTAAGTGTGACGTCCATTTTCATTCAACTAGAACACATTTTTGTCCAGGGGCCAGCTGAATCCCGCCTCCAGGTGCGGAATTTTCTCGCTGTGTTGAAGACCCATTGGTGGACTTCGGCTGTTTTCTGCTCTTTGGTCGGGTTGTTGTCTCTTTGACACATTCCCCATTTCCATTCTTAATTTTATTGGTCTCTGATTGAGAGTTGTCTCATTCGCAATCCTACCACATCTTATTTTTTTATAAACGAACAGTTAGTATGATAATTATGCATCCTATTTCATTAAGCTGGGGTATAAAAAAGGGACTTAAATTAAACCAGAAATACAAATACAGACAACCAACAAATTGAATGAACACATCACATAGCCCACATAGCCCGACTAGATTCAGGCACAAATTGTAGGGTATTTAAACTAGTTTGATACCTTTCAAGATCTATATAATTGACAACTTCCTTGTCGTAATACAATATAGATAGCAGCTCCGGTCATATGTAAAAATGGCATACTTGAATGTTTTGTATTGGTTTCTTTTAAAGAAATTTTTGTTATATCCGATATCATTCAGAGGAAAGAATGAAATTAAATAAAAACTTCGATAATTGAATGTATTGACAAGCACAGTGGCATGTATCGAAACATCCAAATACACAGAAGTATTTCTTCAATTCTATAATGATATCTCGTTATTTTGATGATAGGCTTGTTTACATAATTGTATGGACAGAATACCTATTTTATTACCATGTTGGTTTACATCAATAAAGACAACACGTAACAGTAATATAATCATAGTGATAATTTATGTCTATGAAACGTTGACATAAAAATCCAGGTTGAATACGATGAATAAAGTTAAGGTACTATCCAACGTTGTAGATACATTTTTCTAGTTATAGTAGAGGGTGTGGATGGGGTTTACAGAATATAATGGGCAAACAATATAAAGAATAAAGAAAAATGGACCAAAAAATAAAGAATAGACAATAAAATATTGGGGTGCTAAAAGGTAAAGGATAGAGAATATTGAGGTGCTAAAATATAAAAAAATAGAGAATAACTGGCCTAAACAATTAAAGAATATAAAGTTTACGGAAATGAAAGAACCCCCCCCCCCCCCCCGCTAATCCAGACCCTCATAGAAGTCTTTTAATTAAGAAATATGTCTGATGTAGTCTTGATATGGAAATATTATCTGGTGTCATGAAACTACTCTTACATTATGAGGGGGACAGACCAGATTTTTTCTCCCCAGCTCTATTCCTTTTTTCGCTAACCCTTTACTTATTTTTCTCCACTATCAGACTTGCTCTTCCACTTCTTTATTTCACTATACTAGACTTTTGTCTGTTTAGGCTTTCCTTTTTATGGAGGTTGCCTAGTATATGTATAACGTTCAAATCAGGCAACGCTCTGTTAAAAAAAATCCGGAATATGCATATATGATGCAATAAAATAGTTTAGAATTTTGTATGTGTATAACTACCCCTTCGTGTGTTTACCTGCTGGTGATTTGAAAGTCCACTATGGGGTACCGTGGACGCCATTGAAGTTGGACTTAGTTGATTGCACTACTGGATATATATGAATGTCCCTTTTAGATGCAAAAAAATGTTAAATTCTAAGAATACCTGGACAACGCATGTTCTTTTGCAAGTTTTATCATCCATTTTTAGAATAATATTTAGCTTATGAATATTTGATGTTTTATGTTACCAAAATAATCATTCCTATGACCAGAGACGAGATGCAATGTTTCATAATACGGTCCGTTTTCTTTAATAATTTGTATACTTCAAACTTCAACTTGGTCCTTGCTATTGTTGTTGGTCTTCAAGTCTCTGGTCTACAGCGCTTGTGCACTTGCACGATAGTTCGAGGTTAGTTCTAATGTTATCTTACAATGATAAGTAGTGTAAGTGGATGGCTCAAATTTGTTCACATGAACTGTTAATTATTACATAAAACGTAATATAAGTATAGTAATACATTTACTTAACTGATTTGTCCTCCTTATAAACACCGCAATAACAAACTTAAGGTCAATATACACAACTCTGCTTATCCTTATTGACGAAAAGTCCAGTTTTAAGTTAAGGATAAAAGTTTTAAGATTCATACGTGATAAAACCAATAACATACAAAACCTTTATCCCTTCGTAATTAATTATAATTGATCGGGAAAAAAAAATGACGGGCGTGTGCTCTAAATTCATTTACATGCAGCTTATTTTGGGTCATAATCGAGCACAAAACAGCATTGTAACTAAGTCATTAAATAAAAACTAACGTTGAAGGCCCGTTAGTGGACTTGGTCTGTTTTCTGCTCTTAAGTCGGATTGTTGTTTCTTCGACACATTCCCCGTTTTCAATTCACCATTCTAACATTCACATTTCTTTTAAAGCCTTATTCAGATGTGTTATCAACTATTGTTACATATAATCATTGTAAACAAATTCTCAAACTACTCCGATGTGAACCCTAATCCTGTATTAGTCGAGAATAAAGTATATTTGGGCACATACGTTGTAGCTGGTTCAAAAAGGAATCATTTATATCATATTATATCAATGATGTCGTAAACATTGCAGACAACATTGTTTTTTTTAACTGCGAAATCTTCCAATACACGAATTTTATTCAAGTTTTCAAATAGATAGTTATTTACTTTCCTTCTTTATGGTTAACATGGTTTATGACGTTACCAAAAGAGTCACCATGTACGCCAACGCCTTGCTTTATTTTCTTGAATACACATTCGTAAATATGTAACGCTCTAGATTAATATTAATAATACAAACAACACCTATGATACATGAGGGTGTGGGGTGAGTGTTTATAGAATAGAGAATAATGGGCAACAAATATAAAGAAAAGAGAAAAATGGACCTAAAAATAAAGAATAGAGAATAATAGGCAAAAAGTATAAAGAATAAAGAAAAATGGCCTACAAAATTTAAGAATACCGAAATGAAGGGACCCCCCCCCCCCCCCCAAAAAAAAAAAAACAAAAAAACTCCAGACCCTCATACATGTAGATAGCAGTTAAATCAGATAACTTGTTCTCCGCTTTTCTCTAATAAAATACCATACTGTTTCTTGTTGGCTTTAAAGGCTTTATCATTATTGAAAACCGACTACGTTATGGTTCTATGGGTTTTGCTCATTGTTGAAGGCCTACGGGACCTATAATTGCTAACATCTGCGTCATTTGGTCTATTGTGGATAGTTGTCTCCTTGGCAATCATATTTAACAAATATCTATTTAATCCTAAAGCTGTTGACGAGTATACAAAAAATATACATGTATATAAAGATTTCAAGCTGCTGAGAGTTGAATGAAACAAGCTGAATATATCTCAATGAGACAGACACCCAACGAAACAGAAAAAAAAAAACTCATGTGCAGGTATTTACAGAAAATAAGAAAAAAAGGTTTGATTTTTTAAAAATTAAGAAACATCCCCTCAGAAAAAAACAAATCGTCGGAAAAATAAATAAAACATTTGCCACTGAACGTTACGCCCTATCTTTGTATGCAAAATATATACAAAACTATTTACATACAAACATTAAATTGTAATTATTTTTACATACAAACATTAACTCGTAATTATCTAATTAGGTTTACAGTTATTTATTACCTGTTATTTGAAAGTAAGTGTGTATTCCGTTATGTAATCCCTCTAATAACTTATTGACAATTTAGACACTGTAATTTAAATTAAATTTTGATGACATCACGATCGGTTCCAGTCCGTCACAAACCACAATACGAGATATTCCCGCCCCACAAAGTCCTGGAATTTCGTGGGAGGCATTTCAGACTGAGGTTGTCATTATTACACGGAAACATGTGTGATGTTCTGATTGAGAGGCGATTAATGTCGTCTATAATTTATGAATAAGAAATCTATAATAGAAAACAATGCTATCGAAGGTTATTTCAGGTAAAAAAAGAAGAATTATTACGGCCAAAATGATTAAAAATAGAAAAAAATCGACTGGAATGTTTTATGAGTTCAAGGAATGTAGACTGGTCAATCGGTGATAAAAAGAAAGTGGGGCTTTGCATTGAAAAATCAAATAATTATATAATTCGATATAAAAATGATAAATTATAAAATGGCCAAGTTTTGAAAAAAAATCTCTGTCGCATTTCTTTCGAGAATCTACGATTTTTAATAGATGCCTTTATCTGTTTGGCTCTGACTGACAAGGGTGACTCAAATATCCGTATGTTGCAAGGGAGATAACCCGCCTACAATTGGCAAAGCTCAGCAGTGGCATTGTTATACTCTTATTAACATGTTTTCTCATTGTTTTTTTAAATAGTCAGAAGATCCCTTAATTTCGAATTATTATAATTCTTCGTTTTTCAGTCAATTCAAGATCTCCTTTTAGCAGTGAATTGCTAATTGTTTTTTTTTTTCTTCCTTAAAATAGAATGCAAAACATACACTCAAGTTAGATGTTAATTAAATCATGTCTTCAGGAATATAAATTTCTAGAACTTTAATATATACATTTAGTATAATTTCAAATATTTAGGAAAATATCAAATTTCTGAAACTTTAAAACATACCTTTTTAATAGTATTACAATTTCACTTCACAAATTTACACACTTGAAGAATACAGGGACCTTAAGATAATAATTCATCCTGACGACTTGTCATGTGACTTGTGTGAATATAAAAGTATAATATAAGTGCAGCACTGGGATAGACAGAAATTATATTAATTACAAGTCTAAACGTCTTATAACTTTATGTGTGTTTTCATTTTCGCTTAAATAAATTGAGCTCGCAAACAAGATTCGGAGAGGGTAGAAAGGATAGGTGGAAGCAACACAAACCTCAGGTATGCACGTGTCGTTAGCTCTTGAAAACTGTCATCACTAAGTCTGACTCCAGGATAGTTACCGTCAATCGCAAAGTTGTCCGAATGAGGATCATTTGAAAGCTTTCAGAAGAAATCAATGTCATACTATGGGGACAGGCTGAGTGCTAAAGAAGCTAATTTAACTCTGCGATATAAATGTGTTTGTCCGAAGTCAGAAACGTCGTCAATTTTTTTTCTTTATTTGTACCGAAATGTTTCTTTTTCGTTTTCTTAGGGAAATATGTGTTGAATGCACTTCGTTGTATGCCTCTGTTTGTCATGATTTATTCACAAATTTTCGAGACTCGGAGATATGTACGGGTTGGCATCCTATGTAGACACATGTTTAAGACTGCACATTCACAGCTAGATGTCATTTTATTTTTGTGTAGTTGAGTTGCTTTCTATATTCTTAGTGGATATCACAAGATTGCTTTCGTTCATATGTTAGTGGGCTAATACACCTCGATGTCGTCATAAAGTATATTTTCATCACACGTGTCTGTTCGTTGACTGGTGGACCGCTTCAGTGGTCTTATGGTTGTGTGTTCGCCCTGAGTGCAGGAGGTCGTGGGTTAGAACCCCGACCTGTTCAAATCAAATACTTGAATATTGTTATTAGCTGCTTCTCTGTTAAGCATGTAGTGTCATTAAGGAGTAAGAGCAACGACTGGTAGGCTCGGAATCAAAATAATGTGTCCGGGTAGGATGACCTGTCTTCTTGCGGATTGTTACCTTGTGAACTAGCACGTTAAAAATCCGGCTCAGCGAGTCGGTGTAGTACAAAGCAGTGTTGATATTCATTTTACATTAACATGTTTTCGCCCTGAATATGCATTTAATTTGCCGTTGGATGTAAAAGAACTATCCATCATCTTGATTGGTGTACAATAACTTACTCACACAATCGCAACAATCTAATAACGTATATCGGGGTTTATCCGCGTGTGTTTAATTTTCGCTTTGTTCGCGGCATCTAAAGAAACGCGAAAATTTGACCCCGCGTAAATTTCCCTGCATATTCCAAGATTTATGGTTGTTTGTCAATTATCGAGTCTTTTGTGTTGTTCGACAGATCACAAAAATAGGCATACTTATATACATATTTGTTTAGGGGCCAGCTGAAGGACGTCTCCGGGTGCGGGAGTTTCTCGCTGCATTGAAGACCCATTGGTGGTCTTCGGCTGTTGTCTGCTCTATGGTCGGGTTGTTGTCTCTTTGACACATTCCCCATTTCCATTCTCAATTTTATTAATTAAGTTTTCATAATAATTAATTGGCTTATCATACATGATACAATACTGGTATCGTAGTCGAGAAGAACTCTGTGCCTTCAAAAATAATGACCCCCGAGAATTGTGGAAGAAAATAGAAAGAATTGGCGTTGGAAATGAAAGACAGAAGTGCATTCCGATGGAAGTTTTACAATATGACGGTTCAATTTGTACGAATACTGATGTAGTTTTAAATATATGGAAAAATTATATTGATAATTTATTGAATTTTAAAGATAAAGATAACTTGCCTAATGAAAGTATAACAAACGATATTTTAGATGAATATTTAGATTGTGAAATTAGTATTGACGAAGTTATAAATGTATTGATTAAAGCAAAAAATGGCAAAGCGCCAGGTATTGATTTGATACCTGTAGAATTGTGTAGAAATGATACATTATTACGTGTTTTACATAATTTATTTAAGTGTTTCAAATTTGGTAAAATCCCTTCCATGTGGAGTAAAGGGATAATAACACCTATACCATAGTGTTCTACATCAGTCACTAGTGATCCTTTGTCATATCGGGGCATTACATTAGCCCATGTAGTTATAAATTGTTTTGTAGCATTTTGAATAATAGACTTGTATCTTGGTTTGAAACTTAATTTGTTATACATGATGAGCAAAATGGTTTTCGTTGTGGTAGAAGTACTATTTATCATTTGAGTACGCTTACATCTATTATTGAAACCAGAAAATTATCTACGTTTGCAGTGTTTGTAGATTTTAAAAAGGCATATGACACGGTTAATAGAAATTTATTGTTAACGATCTTAATGATCTTGGTATAAGTAAACATGTTTTGTGTGTTAATAAACCTATTTATTCTCAAGTTGAATGTGCTATTAAACTAAATGGGAATATGACCGAATGGTTTAGTGTTAATTCAGGCCTAAAACAAGGCTGTGTTTTGTCTCCAATATTGTTCAATATTTTTAAAAACAGCTTACCTACAGATATTAAAGCATTAGATATTGGTATTGATATTGATGGTGAAAAAGTTGATATTTTATTATATGCAGATTGCAGAGAATGAAAACGCTTTGCAATTACTCTTAGATGTTTTAAATACATGGTGTAAAAATAAGTTATCAAATATTAATCGCGAGAAAACTAAAATTGTACATTTTAGAAATCCGTCTGTACAACAGACAAACACATTATTTTTATTTAATGATAAGCAAATATGTATTGTACAAAGCTATCAATATCTGGGTTTACTATTAACTGGGTTTACTGAATTTCTAAACTATAATGTAGTAGCCGAGTCAGCTAACAGGCATTAAGTTTGATTATTGTAAAGAGTAAGGCACATGGAGGTTTCCAGTACAGTACATTTACTAAACTATTTGATACCCTGGTCTGGCCTTTTATAAGTTATGGTGCAGCCATTTGGGGTACCAGAGATTTTTCGTGTATTAATGTGGTCCAGAACAGAGCTATCAGGTCTTTTATGGGTGTGGGTAAATATACCCCGAACGATGCAATCCAAGGGGATATGGGCTGGAACCCTCCGAGTGTTAAGCAGTGGACTTGTGTTTTTCGACACTGGGCTAGATGTAACATAATGTGCACAGATAGTTTGAATTATAGAACATGTAAATGGTGTTACAGTAATGCTCTTTTAAGAGACGAAATTGGTGTTTTAGGATTATGTCTAAGTTTAAAGAATGTAATTTAGATTTCTATGTTAATTTAAGTAATGTATTGTATAAACAAGAGATTACACAAATAGAAGAAGTTTTATTTGATAATTATATAGAAAACTGGCAAAATAGAATATTGACACAAAATGTTGGTAAAAAATTACGGACTTATAAATTGTTTAAAGACAGTTATGGAAGTGAATTATATTTATCTAAAAATTGATCGTATAGATATAGAAGTGCATTTGCAAAATTTAGATGCGGAGTAGCTCCGTTAAAAATCGAAACAGGGCGATATGAAAATAAAAATGTAGACGAAAGAGTGTGTTTTATGTGTAATGATAAAATAGAAAATGAAAAACATGTCATATTATCATGCCCGTTATGTGCCGATTTGCGTTTTTGTTTATATAGTGAAGCTATGAAGTATAATGTAGATTTTTATGATTTGTCTGATGATGATAAATTTGTGTATTTATTTCAAAATATTAACTGTTATGATACGGTTGCCAAATCCTGCTTTAATATTTTAAGTAGAAGAAAAACCTTTTTATATTCTTAAAATAAAAATTATTTTAACAGTCGTATGTAATAAAATAGTTTTATATTATTTTACAGTCTCTCATAATTCTTAATAGAACGGTACTTGTATTTCATATTTGTAAATTGTCTATTTTATATTGTGTATATACCCTGTTACGTGTATGTACTTGTATTTATGTATTGCAAGTAGTGATACTATAATACAATATTGAATCTGAATCTGAATCTACATGTCACACCCTTTGACAACACAGCAATCAGTGACATGTTAAAAAATGTTTATAAGCGACGCTCTATTGATTGGTGTCATAACCAATATGA